ACGTCCTCGGGTGGGTGTTATGTTGACTTTTTTCTGGAATGTCTTCTGAACGGCGCGGTCTAGTCGTACCACACTTTGCATAGCTGGTGTGCAAAGCATGGGGCTCTTCTAAATTACAAAAAAAATTTTGGTGCAAATTTGCTTCTTAAAACGTTATTGTTTGAATACGTGACGAAGCGTTTTTATGACATAAGAATCGTTGCCAGGTTAGCCGTGTCAGGATTGCCACTAGCGAACGGCAGACTCACTTGTGGCACTTCAGGCGCTGCAAGACAGCTTTCGTCTTTGCGCTCGTCAGTTAATCTTATTAGTGGCATGTGCGCGTGATTTAGTCCTATCTCGGGCTGCTCTTGAATGTTTTGCCATGATGCTCTGATTTTCACTTGCAAATTTACATTTTTGGTTACAGCGCTTTTATTAACACGCGCTCTGCTGGCCGGCTGAACAACCTTCGCTCGGGTGGTCGTCAATTTCACTCCCCTGAGCTCTCAGAAACCAGCAGCGCTAGAGATGACAACACAGAGCGCAGCTCACGTCGACCCATTCGGTGCCCATACTCCTGTCTGGCGAGACCTACGCAGGTGGCTTGCTCCTTTTGCGGCCCCCAGCCAAGGAGTCATTTTCTCATCACTTTTCCGGTCGCTCTCGTTTCAAAAACACACCACTTAGTTAGTTTTATTGTTCTCTTCCCGCTCCTCCGTATGGGGAAGCGTGGTAAGCGCAGGGACAACACCGACACGGACTCAAATTCGGCCTCCGACATTGATAATGCCCTGGATACAGGCGACGGAAATGCCGCTAGCCCCCCTTTGACTGCCACTTCAGCTGATGACCTTCGCGCGCCCCAGGCCCATTCTGTTGGTTCACGGACATCCGCCACGATGTGTGGACAGCAGCCGTCTCCATCCAACGCCCCTGGTTCCGACCCTCGCTCATCTTCGACCACTCCGGTGCCAAAAAAGAACTCGGAAACTTATATTGATCCTCTCGGCTCATTTGTGCTTGCGAAACCAACAGGCGAGAACGTTTCCTTCCGGGGAATCAATGTTTTCTGGCCGAACAAACAAATTCGGGGTATTTGTGGTGCATCTGACCTGGGCATTGAAAGTGCGGCAAACGGCTCTCTGGTCTTTAAAACGAAAACGCGTTCTCAGACAAGGGCATCCTGAAAACTGCCGAGTTCTGCGGAAAAACTGTCACCGTCTCGCTTCACCACGCGCGGAACACCACCAAAGGTAAATTTTTGCTCTGGAAAAGCGATTCATGACCGAGAACGAAATTCGGAATGGGCTTTGCGCTAAGAGGGTCTGTCGCGTCCGTCGTCAAACGACATTCAGAGATGGCTAAAGGGGTGACACCAGTCTGACAGTTCTCACTTTTCAAACAAATCATCTGCCTGAACCTCTCATTGCTCGCCATTTTAGCTGATCTGTCCGGGTTTTCAATCCAAACCCACCGCTCTGCTTCAACTGCCAACGATTCGGTCATGGGAGCGAAACTTGCAGGCAGTGCTCGTTGTCAGAAGTTCGGCGTGGCCCCACATGATGGCTCTGCCTGCAGCGCACCGACGAAGTGCCTAAGCTGTGGCAACCCGGGACATAATGCCAATTTATCGCAATGTCCTGTATGGTAGCGAGAGAAAAGAGATCTGTGCTGTCAAGGCGACGTCAGGTTTGTCATACCCCCAGGCACGACGCATCATGGAATAAAAGATATCCCCGCAGCCAAACAAAACATATGCACAGGAAGCAAAAGTCACGATGGTGACATGCCGGACACAAACTGACTCTATTCCCTATATGTCCTCTCTGAAGGTTCTCATCCTCGTGCCCCTGTTTCAACTGAGTCGACCACGCATACTCAGACGGCCAATACTGTCGAGTCGCCCCTGGCTGAGCGTTCGGGCACTCAGGCGCCCGTGAACTCCCGTCCCCAGGCCGGCTGGCGCTCCAGCCCTCCGGCTATGCGTGGTCCGTGCCCGGCTCAAGCCGTTCGGCGTTCCAGCCCTCCGGCTACGAACGGTCAGCAGTCGGTCCCTCTGGCCGCCGCACGAACGGCCGCCTCCCTCCCCCTGCGCAGTGCCTACAACGCGCCTGAGCGAAGACTGCCGGTCCCGACCCCCGTGAGGGTGGCCGTGGGCCGGCCTCGGTCAGTTTCGTTTGGCCGATTCCCACCGACCAGTGGGGATGAGTCAAACCACCGTCAAATGCAATTTGTCTTCCAGTGGAATCTTCGTGATTTAATTTCAAAATGGTCTGAAATGAAAACATTGTTTTGCGTCATTAGCTCCCATCGTTATCGCCGTGCAGGGAACCTGGTTTCTTCCTACCGACTCATATAACTTTAAAATGTCAAGTTATTCCTCATATCGTAGTGATGACAGCCGGTGAGCGTCGCCAAGGTGGGGTGGCACTTAATATGAAAAGCGAAATAACACACGTGCACCTTGCACTCACCCACGCCTCTACAGACTGTTGCATGTTCTGTGGACTTCATGGCCGGAAAATCGGTGTCTGTTCTGTGAACTCTCTCCCAACTTACGATAACGCGAAGCTATCACAGCTTAGCCACCTTATCACTCACTTTCAAAACCCTACTCATATTATCAGAGATTTTAACGGTCACAGCCCAGCTTCAAGTAACGGGACGGGGCAGGACATGACCAGATAAATTTCAAGGCGGCTTTAGAGGAGAGCTGCTACCTAAAAGCCTATACATGTAACTAAGGTCTCAACTATTTCGCAAACATCACCTGGCTTTCGTCGGCTGCGCGGAGGCGCGCGACGCCGCTACCCCGGCGTTTCAGGCGGGTGGAGGGAGAGCAACGGGTAACGCAGGGCGGCCACAGGATAGCGGAAGGTGTCTGTTGTGCGATATGTCCGGTAGTGAACTTGCGTGTGCATTATGAAATCGTTAAAACACCCACATGTCTGGACCCGATCCAGACCCAAACTATGGTGCTTGATATCTGCGAAAACACCTTAAGCTCGGCCAGTTGTTCGGTCAGCGGCGCAATCTTGCAAAATGAGTTGATGGAGGGGGGGGGGGGGGGGGGGGCGGAGCAGAGCAAGGTGACACAACCTTCCTACAAAAGGGCAATAAACCAATTTGTCCCCAGATTTGACCCACTTTAAGGGTTGGGAAGTAGACCCTTACCCCCAACTGAATGCGGAAATGTAGCCGCGTGCAGCATTATCAGTTTCGAGTTCCCAAGTCGAGTTATCAACCTTCAGTATACCAGGAGTCATTGTTAGCCGACGTTATAAAGCGACCGTTCATGATATTGCTGGCACTCGGTACTTCAAGCTGTGCTGATAATGAATGTCATCATAGCACTCAGTAGTGTCTCGCAGACTTCCTGTTGACTTTTGTCCCTTTCCACTTTTCGTCTTTTGACTTTTATATGCCGACCTATCCCCGTGGACTTTTATCCCTGCCGGCTTTAAGTCCTCAGACATTCGTCCAATTCGACTTTTCCCCATCGGTCTTTCCTTGATTCACTTCGGATTCGAGTTTATCATTGCCGACTTTTTGTCGTTCGACTTTCCTCTTTTCTTTCTTTTGCCCCTGCTGACTGCCATCTCTTTAAGCTTCTTCCCGATTCGATTTTTATCGTGTTCGCCCTTTAATCCGTCGACTTTTTCCACCCGAGTTTTTCATTCAACTTTCTGTCCGGACATCTTGAGGTGGGGGAATTTGTGTGCCTTTTCTACATTATGCATGTCTGGGTAACTGTGAATTAGGTGGCTCGAAATAGTCTGCAAAAGATCACGGCGTCTAGCTCGGAAACAAAATGATCCCAGTCACGTGCCTGGTGTCATCTGCAGCGACCAACGCCGTTCGACTGCACTTTGGTATTACGGAAAGTCTTATCCTGGCCATCGCTGTTTTTGCTGTTAAGATTATCTGTACTGTAAATGTGTTCCATAAATCCTTCGAGAGTAATGCTTTTCGAGACGAGCTCGTTTTCGTTCATCTTTCGGCCGCTATCTGGTGTTAGCTGCGGATGCCATCCCCACCTGGATTACGGAGACTGCGGGTCCGTGTGCGAGCGCTGGGTTGTAGTGCAAGATAAGCTAGGGGTTGAGCGGTGATAAATTGACGAAAACTACAAGATAATCACAAACGGGCTTTTCACCATACTTGGTCGACTCTTTTCTCGAGGTTAGATTAGGGGGAGCGGCTGAACCCCCCTGCCCCGTCTGAATAGGAAACAGCACCCCTTGTTCTTAAAACTGCGAGCGCGCGTGCTCAAAACTAGGTCGCACTGTCATTTTCAACTCGATTCAGAAGAAAGGACAAACACCTCAGTCGCACATGAGCTGGCCATATCAATGCAAGTTTTGACCCCGTTTCGACCTGCGCAGACGCGCAATCCAGAGGGCCCCTCAATATCTGTATAGAACCCCGAAAAAATCCGGCAACAACCGTTTTCAACGCACATTGATTTTGAAGGGGCTAAACGAACCGTCGTGAAATAAAAGCGCCGTTGGTTTATTCGATGCAGGCATTGAACACCGCGTGCATTCATGTAATCAGCTTCTAAATACCAGCGTAACTAAATCTGCTTGCACCTTCTCGTCCCTGTTTCAACTGGAGGGCATACACAAAACTTGATCCTTTAAAAGACAACCGGCTAAATCCTACGAATAGTTTATGGGAAAACGGGTAGGTGCTTTTCACCAGCAGGAGTCTTTGACGACCCGACTGTTGGTGAATGAGATATCTGGTCAGTGGGTCCGTTGGAGGGGCAGCGTGTGGTCGAGTGGGGGACATTTTTCCGCATTAGACAAGCTGGGAGAAGCCCTGCAATAACGCAGCCCGTTGTGCTGCCCTTTGCGTTAAATTTGGGCTGCCGGACATGTGTGAGGCAGCTCCACGGGACATCAGCGAACGTAACTAAAAAAATAGAACGGCTTCGAACTGCATCGAACTCCCTTTGTCCAACCCAGGACGCGTTTACGGGAGGTTCCAAACATTGTCTTGGTGCAAACATGTGCTCCGGTTCGACTGTATTCACCAACTTGCACCACTGGATAATTATTAGAATCGTCAAAGATCCAAAACGGTTGCCTCGCTCAGGGATGTCTAGGAACGCACGGGAACAGCTTCAACCCTCTACAGATCACTTGGGCATGTCATCGTCATTACAGTCCATGGAAGATGCACATGGGTCGCTAAGCAGTGAGCTAACGAAATGCGCATGGTTCGCGAGGCATTGAGCTAGCCAGATGCGCATGGTTTGCGAGGCAGTGAACTAGCCAGGTGCGCATGGTTCGCGAAGCTGTGAGCTGGCCAGATACGTATGGGTCGCGAACCTGTGAGCTAGCCAGATGGGCTGGCATAACAGAGAGCGCTTGTGCTGCGATCCACATCACCAGTCGAACATCGTTATAAAGTGATCACTTGACAATATTCAGCATAACCGTACGTCACAACCACGCACTGCAGCAGCGGTCCTCAAGTCCACGTTCAATAATGGTCCTTTCAACTGTGTCCGGCCCCATAAGGCCAGCAAGTTTTGCCTGCAAAACAAACTAATGAACCAGAACAAAATAAACCCTCAGGCTGAACCGATAATTGCTGTCCTTGTACCGAGGTGCGCAACCAGTGAGCATGGGCGTACACAAACCTAACAGCCCCTCTGCGTTACACATACGTCTAGGCATTGTCCCGTGGGCTACATCATGTCTATTCAATTCTCTTCAGAGTTAAAGCTTGTTTATCCCCGGCTCATACGAACACATCCTGTGATACCCATCGATATATGATCTTAACGTGCAATGGCTGAATAACTAAACCATACACTTGCATGCTAGCCTATATGCTGTAATGACACGCATAACATCAATATATGCACTATTGTACCATGCACCACGCGTCCAAAACAACCTCAGTCCCACATGCCTTGTGTGTCTGAGGATGCATCGGCGGTGGAGCGGCAGACAGCGGGGCAGGGTACGTTCATCCGACGGACCTGCGGTCCATGCTGCCCGTCTTGGGCAGAGCATGACGCCCGGGACATTGCATCCTAATCAGGACAGTGCATCCTGCCTAAGAGAGCGCGTCCCACCCGAGCCAGTGCGGACCCACCAGGGGCGATACATCCTGCCTAAGAGAGCGCGTCCCACCCGAGCCAGTGCGGACCCACCAGGGGCGATACATCCTGCCTAAGAGAGCGCGTCCCACCCGAGTCAGTGCGGACCCACCAGGGGCGACACATCTTAGACCGGGCGGCGCAACACGCGTCCGGGGCAACACAAAATACGGCTCGGATCAATACACATTTGTGAAAAGCAAGCAGTGTAAATAGGTACTGATTTACAAGTTATACCGTACTTGATTTAATGTCAAGTACTTCACTGCATGCAAGTACGGTGTTCTAGATTTCGTGCAGCTGAATGCGTCCTTTCGAAAATGTCCAAAAACCTCCATCCCCAGATTCCACGACGGCTGCTGAACACTTAAGCTCTCGAAGTGAACGGATGGTTGGTGGCGCTGTGGCGCCATTAGCACATATGACCATTAACATTCTGCCGTATGCTCCGCTAAGCATTGCAGTGCTCCACGCAAAGGCAGTCAGAATGACAACAACACACCAGCGGCGTCCATGCGCGCCGGGTAGACGGCTGTGAGGCAAAGGTGCGCGTTTGAGACGACACGAATCGGCCACAGCTGCAGCCAGCCAAGTCCACGGACCGTGACGAGCCTGGCCAGTCGACCGAACCTAGGCGGCCGAGCCGACGCCGGCGCCTCCACCGCCGCCACACCGCCAGGGCCGTCACCACACTCACCCCCGCGGGATGTCCCACAGAGCACTCGCCTGCATCCGCGGCACGTATCACAGAGGCCAGGCTACGCTGCCCCCGACACTCGACGATTGCACATCCAGCACCATCGACACCACGCGCCGCGCCGCACCGCAACATGCCATCTCCCCTAGAGCACCAGGTCGCACCGAATCGGTGATCCCCCATGGTTAGCCTTGCGCGCTTGCCCAGCGGCGCACACTACCACCTACATAACGTAACCAGCCACCCGGTAGCCAGCCCCGTGTCGCGCGCCGGGGCGCGCCGGCCAACACCGCGGTGTCCGGCGCCACTACCGGGGCCGCCTGGCGCGCAGCAGGCGCAGAGCCAGCTGCAGCACCAGCGGCCAGCAGAGCAGCAGCAGCAGCGAGCGCGCCGACAGCTCCGGCACCTGCCACCAGGGGCGCTCCTGCAACGGTCTGAGCGTGAGGTCGGCACCGGCCGCGGCTGCCGGGCGCTGACGTCAAGAGGGGCGCTCAGTTTGGCCGGAGGCGTCGCCAGAATTGTCACCAGCCCATCCCACTCGAGGCCAACAGACACTGATGTCGACAGCACGCGAGCGTCCGATCAACATCCACCGCACGCGCACAACGCATACATCCACCAACACGAGGGATCGTCGGTCTCATCCAGAGGCGTCCGATCGATCCCGAGGCAAATCCAATGACCACTGCCGTGGAGCGCGGCGACCGACTGACCTTGACCTGGGCGCGACCGGAGGCGGCCTCCAGCGCGCGCAGCCGGCCCGTGACGGTGTCCAAGTCGGCCCGCATGTCACGCAGCAGCGCGCGCAGCTCGTCGTGCACCTCTGCTGACAACGCGCCGTCATTGGACGGGGATGGCGCGCGCGGGTGACACCAAACCTTGCCTGCCGCACCAGGCGGCAAACGCATGGTCAACGTCCACTGCTTGAAACTGATGCGAGTTCATCGACTAGTTACAAAAACGAACAGAAGACGGTGGAAGGCCGTGAAGGATGGATCAAGGTGCAAGCCTGGTATGTCTCTTTGCTGTCGGTGTGAAACCCAGGAAGAGTTTTGAACTGGTAAAGTGCCCATACGTGGTAGAATGACAGCAACGGATAAAATACTTCGGTTGTGACGCTACGTGACTGAAAGTCAAACACCATGCAGTCCTTACAAATCCATAAAACCAGACCACGGCCGGAGAGTTGACTGACCGAGACGCTGAGCACATTCCGAGCAATGATTCCATCGGCGATCGTCATGCTGTTCAAAAGTTTTGACCGAGTACGACACAGCCTCTGTGACACACCTTCCGCGACGTTATGACACAGCTTCTGCGAGGCTTTATGACACAGCCAATTTGCCGCCCCAAAAACTCTGATCAGTATGGCTACGCACTGATCATGAAGAACTCCCACGATATGGCTGGATATCCCAAGTGCTGGGAGAGTTAAAATCACCATCGAGAAAGTGGCAAAAGACTGATAACCATTCCAACCCAATATGCTGTCGACTTCCTTCCGGAGATGATTCTCCACTACTACCCCACTCTCTCCGGCCAACACATAAGAAAACACAGCTACAAACAGGCTATCAGCAACATCCAGCACGGGCTCAGAGGGTAAACAATTCTCCTACCCGACCGAGCCCAGCGCAAATGCCCAGACCAGTCCGCTGGGACACAACTGTGATCAGGCGTTCGACTGTAACCATAGCAACTGTAATCACACACGCGTTTGACGCCATCCGGCCCGTCGGCAGCCGTCACGGCTGGTGGCGCCACCTACCCGGACAGACGGTGACTCCCCCTGCGGCATCCTTGGCCGCCTCCAGGCCGGGCCTCGCGCAGGCCGTCTCCAGCCGTCCATCCTGGAGGAAATGCGCGTCTCCAGTGACGTCACGCGAACCGGTGCACCTGCTGTACTGACATCACGCGGACCGATGCCCCGCTCTACTGACGTCGTTCGGACCGATGCACCGCTGTACTGACATCACACGGACGGTGCACAACTGTACTGGCGTCATACGGACCGATGCACCGCTGTACCGACATCACACGCACCGGTGCACCGCTGTACTGACATCACACGGAACGTTGCACCGCCGTACTGACGCCATACGGACCGATGCACCACTGCAATGACGTCACACGGAACGGTGCACCGCTGTACTGACGTCACACGGGACACGGGAACCACGCATGCGTCCCGCGAGCAGGCCCAAACGGCAGCACGACCGCAGAACGGCGCAGACACCCAGCGGATGGCAGTATGGCCGCAGCATGGCGCAGACACCCAGCAGATGGCACCACGGCCGCAGCACGACGCAGACACCCAACAGATGGCAGCAAAAGCCGGCTCCAGGCTGAATCTTACAAGAGAGGACGGCTACACAAAACACTTCCGCACGACGTCAACCTTACACAATCAATGTACACTTTGTCAGGGGCAAGCCTAGCGCGCCATGCACAAACACGCTTCCACGCCCAAAACGCTTGTAACACAATTTATACGACACTCGACTTCTAAATGACACGACTGCTACACACACAGCTCAGCAACAGTACTTTCAGTCAAAACTTCTACCACACATTGCTACATATAAGGCTTTCAGCCAAAACGTCGCCACACTTCCACAAAAAGTCATAGAGGGCCCAAGAACAACCACAAAACTTCTTCGCGAATTACCACTTCGCGTCAAAGCTGCTATAGAGAAACTCCAACACGTTACTTCTTCTGCTAAAACTTAAATGGCGAACACATCTTTGCGACAAAGCTTACGCGTGCGAAGCACGAGCAGTGTGCCATCACACATCTGCTGCGGAAAAACCAATATACCAGCCTAACTTGACATGACCTGGCCTGACCTGATAAAACCAAACCAAACATATCCTGACATGACTCAATCAACCGTCGGTGTGGAATTCCCGCCCCGCCGTTCTTTATAGTGGCCGAAGTCTGGCGCTCAATGCTTTTTTCTTTGTCAGAAGGGGGTTCGACCTTGCAGGGGCCCCAACAGATTAGCGCGTCTTCTTGTGCGCAGCAAGTGTAGAATGTCATAATGTCATTCCGATCTTTCTGCACCCGCTTTTAGGGGCACCCTGGCACCACGCTTTGGAGGGCTGAAACGGGCCTTCGATACATTCGTGCGTCTGCTGTCACGTTTTCCTTCTACCCGAGCACACACTGGCCAAGTTTGTGAAAACCATCGCCTGCAGACATGAACTCGTGTGCGCCCTGGTCCAAGAAGAAGCTCGATGCCACCACGATAGAAACATAAAAATGGGACGGCTGATACTGATTTTCAATGCACAGTAATGCAGTGCAGCGGACTGGCCTCAGATAGCGGATTTGGCGTCGCCTGCCTCTCACCCTGGCAGAAAGGCCGGGCACCGCGGCAATAGCAACTAACATTGTTATATGCAAATGTTTGTGTTTTTGTTGCGATGCGTCATTACTGCCAAACCGGGGTGAGCTTCGACTATGCAGCTTTGATGCATGGCAGTCGTGTGGGGTAGAAGCTTTATCCGCAGCGGTTAAGTCGCGTCCAAATTTTGTCTGTACAACTTCGGTAGTGTATAAACTTTGACCGCAGCAATTTTGCTCGTGGACATGTCATGTGGCAGTTTTACAACGAGCGTTTTTGTTTTGCAGAAGAAGGCAATAATGTGTAGCGTTAGGCTATACGGCTTTGCGCTGTAGTTCATTTGTTTGTAAAAGTTGCATTGCTTGAACGTATTCACACTTAGATTCCTGTTTGCAGAAGTACTATCCCGTGTAAGTTATCTGCGTGAGTTTTGATGCGCATGATGACGTCGCGCAAGCGCTATGTCCGGATTACTTGTGTAATGCCGCGTATTGTCCACAAAATTGTTGGGCGTGGAAATTATACCGAGCAAAAGTGGTGTTGTACCAGATTTGTCGCTGTCATTTTCTGCAGAAGTCGTGTCGCGACAACGTACCAGTAATGTACGCCAAAGTTATGCGAATGCTAATGGTATCAATCTCGCGACCACCCAGATGACACGGCCAACAAAATAAACAAAACGCAGCTCATCGATTCTGTTGTGGGTCCCAAAGTAAGCAGAGTTGTTACCAGCTGTTCTGACCCGGTCAGCATCACAGACAGCGGACATAGTTGTCCCGCTAACTGAACGGTTCCCCTCATAAGCTATAAGACAGCGATATTGCTTCTGGCGACACACAATCCGGGCTCGTCTAACTCATGCCCGTCACGCCGCAACATTCCAGAGGCACGTCAGCCCAGGTGACGGGGAGACGGGACACAATACAGCGCGAGAGCGACCACCGACCAGTATCTGAGCGCCGGCCGAGTCCACAAGCTGAGAGAGAGTCTCGACACGCTGCTGCAGGGCGTCCAGCCGAGTCTGCGCCCCGTCCCGCGCCTGCACCAGCTCGGACCCCTGCGGCGGACCCGGCCCCCCCCGGTCAGGTCGGCACCCCACGGCCGCCCCTCGGCCGGACAGGTCAGGTCAGATCAGGTCAGGTCAGGTCAGGTCAGGACCGGTCACGACACGCACCGCATTCACGCCGTTCTCGGCCACACCGGACGGACGCCCACCTCCAACATGGGACAATGCTGTGGAAAGCACCAAGTCCGTTATGCGCAATATGAGCCGCACGTGCATCGTGGACCAGAACGCTGACATACGTTTCACTCGCTCTCCCAGAGTCACCGCTACACCTGCTGCAGCGGCCAGTCGCCTCCTCACCCCGATCGGGTCGTTGAACTCGTCGTCGTCGTCCGTGTCCGAGGTGGCCGCGCCGACCCAGCGCTCCACCTCCGGCGCGTGGCCGCCGTTGACGTCCGGCGCCGGCAAACCGTTGGCAGCCGGCGGTGTCGCGTGACCGTTGGTCGCGGCCGGTTCGTCGGCCACGTGACCGTTGGTAGTCGGCGCCGCGTCGGAGGAGAACCGGACGTGCTTTTTTTTAGCAGGCCGGTCGGCCTTTCCATCGTCGACGTACTCGTACACGGGGCCCAGCGTGTCCATCAGACTGGCCACGTCTTCCGTCAGCGACATGGTCTCCATCACCTGCGGCATGTCCCACGGCCGGTGGTGAGACGGCTCATTCACATCGTTTTCAACCGTGGTCTCAGTGGCCTGTGATGGTGACAGTGACAGTGACGTCACCAGAGACGTCAGTGAAGCATGTCATCGCTCTG